TCAATTTCCCCCTTTGCTTTTCCCTCTAATGGAAATTGCTACTTTTACTTGTGTTAGCCCTAACAGGGATTGACAAAGAACCTTAGACATTCTAGGTTAGGGCCATGAACTATATATCCATCCCAAATTGCTCACTGTGTGTTATGCTCATACACAGTATAAAAACACATGTGTGCAGGTGAGCCCATGGGAGGCCAAGGGGGAACAGCAGGTGTCCTGCTCTATCACTCTGTCTCATTCTCTTGAGTCTCTCACTGAACTTGATTTTTTTGTGAATTTTACATAATATAGACCAATTCCACTCATTTCCCACTCCCTCCACCATTGCAACCTCCCCCCACAAAAGAAAATAAAAAATAAATAAACAAACAAAATCTTGTGGAAGTTTCAGGGTCTTACACACTATATCCTTTGTCCACACAGCTTTGCTTGCAAATGCTCACTGCAGTGAGTCATCGGTCTGGTTCAAGGCCTCTGGCTTCTGCTACACTATCAATACTGGATCCTCACTGGGACTCCTCTCAGATATCCTGTTATTGCCCTGTGTCATGGAGATCCTGCAGCTTTGGATCTGCATGATGGGACACTTCACAGGCTCCAGCAGTTCACAGATGGGGTAGATATTGAAGTAGGACAACTCAAAGCCCTGCATCTAGGTCTGGGTGGTAACCAAGTTGGTTACCCCACCAGAATTCCTGTACCACTTACACCAGGGCCAATTCGCCCATTTTGCACAGGCAAGGGACAGGCTCTCTCTCACTCAAACCATGGGGGCAATGCTGCTCTCCTGCAGAGCCCTGACTGGTTCATCCAAGAGCTGCAGTTGGCAAGGGGTGGAGCCAACTCAACTGTTCTGCCGTCCCTGGGGGCCAGCTCATCCATCATGCCACCAGAGACAGCTCTACTGTGCTGGTGAGGTGTGGGGTCTGCTCTCTTGCCCTCGGGGCCAGCTTTCTCTACCACACATGCCTAGCTTTTTACATGAGTGCTGGGGATTTGAAGTTAGGACTTCATGATTGCACAATAAATGCTCTTACCCACTGAGCTATCTCCTCAGCTTCCCAAAGAGGTACTTTTTTAAATGTAAGGATATATAAGTGTAGTCCTCTATTATTTTAATGTTTTATTATTATTATTTATTCATTTTATTTTATGTGCATGCTAGAACTCCTGGAACTGAGTTACAGAAGGTTGTGAGAGACCACATAGGTGCTGAGAATCAAAAGTTGGTCCTCTGCAAGAGCAGGCAGTGTTTTTAACCACTGAGGCATCCCTCCAGCTACTTTTTCTAAGGTGTTTTTCAATATTTGCAACATAGTAAGACTGGGCATGGTGATAATCCCATGTAATCCCAGCACTTGTATGGAAAAAGCAGAAGGATCACATGTTCCAGGCCAGTTTGGACAACTGAAATAGTTCAGGGCCAGCACAGGCTACAAAGAAAGACATTGTCTCCAAAACAAGAATATTCTATGAGATAGAAGACAAAGTAATGAAAACTACTATACATTCAAACTCTTTTCAGGAGAGACAGATGTGTACACACACCCCACAGCAAAATCTATTAACTACATTAAACAAGCAGCAAAAGTCTAAATATACTCCACAGCTTTTAGATTGTTTTTCTTTTTAAGACAGGATCTCAAGTAACCCCCAACTTCGGATTCCTACCTCCACTGTACTCATCTACTTTCAAATATTAATATAAATTATTATTTTTTTGGTTACAAGGAGAATTTCACCCACTTTGTTGCATTTTCTATTACATGTATTGTTTTTGTATTAGGTCAAACTGGAATTGTATCAAAATCACAAGACAGGAGCTCTATACCTCACATAGTCATAAGGTTACTGTATAATTCAAATGCCGATTTCTGTACCCCCTTTTCTGGTTGCAGTCCTTGTTCTGAGACTCTCCTGTGTCAATGTTGTGTAAACATTGCTCCCCATGTGTTCCCTTATAGCCAAGGAGAGAATACGGCTGCACTTCCTGTCAGCCAGGAAAGGAGTTAGAGGAGAAAGTAAGAAGTTGAGCCACAGGAGAGGTCCAAGAAACATCAGAAGGAGCTGGAACAATTAAGCTACGAAGTGCAAGCATCTCTGGGACATACACTGGGAGGAAACCAGATTAGCTTAGAGGGTGGAGTAATAACTGCTCAGTTATTGTATTGTGAATATTATTATTATCAAATGTAAGAGTCTCAATTATTTGTGTGATAGGTAGGTTAAAAGAGAAACTGAGAAACTCGGTTTTATAAAAATAACTTCTAACAACCTGAGGCAGTTTTGTTAAAATTATGAGCAGCTGGGCACAGTGGCACACAACTTTAACATCAGCACTCTGGAAACAGAAGCAGACAGATCTCTGTGAGTTTAAAGCCAGCCTTGTCTACACAGTGAGTTTCAGGCTAGCCAAAACTACACAGTAACCTGCCTCAAATTAAAAAAAAAAGAGAGAAGAAAAAAGCGGTGGGCACTTACTTATTATCACACATCAAAAAAGGATGTGCCTATGGGGACCAAACATAGGACTTTCAGCAACCTAGGCTAGTTTTCAGACCTCTAAATTATACTCATAGGGAGACCTCTATCTTAAAAAAAAAAAAAAAAGAAGCAGCTAGACAGAGTATTTACCTCTGTAATCCCAGCACTTAAAGGATAGGACAGGTATAGCCCCAAGTTCAAGACAGGCTGGGCTTCAGAGAGAGACCTTGTCCTCAAAACAAACAAAAACAAAAACAAACCAGAGGACCACAGGATTGTTCAGTGGGTAAAGGCTTGCCACAAGCCTAGCAACCTGACTCTATAAGGTCCTCTGACCTCCATATGTGTGCTGTATGGGAGCATACATGCCTTTAATATTGGTAGACATAGGCAGATATCTGGGAGTTTGGGACTAGCAGGAACTACATAATAAGACCCAGACTCATAAACAAACAAACAAATAAAAAGGCTTCAGGACCGCCTGGTCTATGTACAGAGTTCTAGCACAGCAGGGAGTACAAAATGAGAACAAACCAGCCTCAAAGACAGATGGAGAGATAGATAAAGACAGACAGACAGACACAGACAGACACAGACAGACGGACGGACAGATAGATAGTATGGCTAACCTGGGCCCTGGGACTGATCTCCAGCACCAGGAAAGGGAAACAAAACAAATAAAAACTGTAAACAACAGAACAAGAAAAAAAATCCAAGTCACAAAATGGTACATAGCTATAATCTTTAACATTCAGGAAGTGAAGGCAAAAGGATGTGGCATGGGCTAGATATACTCTTTCTCAAAAAAAAAAAAACAAAAAACAAACAAAAAAGTCAAAACTACTAGTAATAAATATTTCTAAAACAAAATCTAACCATAAATACTAGGGGGGCTAGAAGATATAGCTCAGGTAAAGCCTACCTGTCAAGTTATAGATGGTCCTACAGTCAATTATTAGCCCCACAGAATCAAAACAAAACGGAAGTTGCCTGGCTACTTAGAAGGCTGAACAGAGAGAATCGCTTGAAAGAGGATCAGTGGAGCCTGTTAGTTTGAGCACAAAGCAAACCCCTGCGCTCAATAAAGAGTTCATGTACACAAACCTACTGACATTAAAATAGATTATATAGTTTGTATTTATTCAGGATTTTAATATTTAATTAACTGCTTATCAAGTAAATAAAACTCACAGGAAGAAAATCTGTATATGGGCATTTAAAAATACAATATGGGGATCAGCATTAAAATTTTAGTTTCCCTATAGTCACCAAGTCCCTATAGTCATCTTATGTCTAAATGCTACCTGTTTTTGTAAATAAACACTTGTAAATAAATTAAGTACTTGCTAAAGGTATGACAGGCAAGAAAGATGGCTCAGAACTTAAGAGCACTTGTAGCTCTTGCAGGGACAAGGGTTTGGTTTCCAGCATGCACACGGCAGACGACAACAATCTGTTGTTCAATGCCCTCTTCTGGTCTCTGCCAGCACAGTGCATTGACGTATATGCAGACAAACCATTCATACACATAAATTAAAAATAAATCTCGAAAGGTATGGTGGTGCACTCCTTTAATCCCAGCACTCAGGAGGCGGAGGCAGAGTACAAGGCCAGCCTAATCTACACAATGAGTGTGAGGACAGGAGAGCTACATAATAAAACGGAACCTGTCTCAAATCAAAATTAAATAAGTATTTAAAAAACAAAAAAAGCCGAACAGTGGTGGCACATGCCTTTAATCCCAGCACCCAGGAGGCAAAGGCAGGTGGATCTCTGAGTTTGAGGCCAGGCTGGTCTACAGAGTGAGTTCCAGGACAGCCAGGGCTACACAGAGAAACCCTATCTCAAAAAACAAACAAACAAAAAAGGAAAATAGCTTGTCAATTTGTATATGGTCCATGGCTGCATTCTTGATATTACAGAGGAGCTGTATAGTTATGACAGAGCCACTAGGCCAACAAAATCTAATTTATTACCAGCCTTTATACAAAAATTTTCAGACTGTGATCTAAATAATAGTCAAATATATCAGAAATGGTAGAAAAAAATTGCTTATTCATTTCAGCCCAAGTACTTAAGGTTTATTACGAACTCCTCTTCCTTTATATTAGTGTCACTTAGTAACTACTGATACTCACGTTTGGGTTACTTTTCCATAGGTAAGCACATTAGTCATCCAGTAATTTATCCTTCATAATATTATTACAAACAAAATCCTCACTAAGGTACATTTGTAATCATCACTACATACACTTATCTTTCATCTACATAAAATCTACTAAGGTATAAGACAAGCAAAGCTGAACACAGAAACAAAACTTGATATAACTTAATAACTCCTAATACTCTATTGGGATGTACAACATCTAAGATTTCCATCAAGGTCCAAAACGTCAGTTTTACCTCATTTCATATTAGGAAAGACATTCAATCCATCAGCACCATTCCAAACCCACCAGGTTCCTCTTATGCACATTCAAAGTTTCAAGGACCATTGCACTGAAAGATATTTTTACCTTGAGTGTGAAAAGACTAATTCGGCCAGGTAATTTATAAAATAGCCCTTCTCCTCCTCTTGAGTTGGAATGTAGCATGGCATTGAGGCAGGCAAGAGGGGATGTCCCACTGTAAAAGATGAAAGGATAAAAATGGGTCATAAAAATCTGTATCTACCTAACAAACATCCAGCTCTTCTAATTCATTTCCAAACCAAGAAGCAAAGCAAGCAATGCAGAGAAGCAATGAGTTCACACATCTACTATGAAAGAAGTTCATGGAAATCCCCACTCAGAGCGTCTAGGCTGTGGTGCATAGTAACTCGGAACACCTTTTAGGCACATCGTTTAATATTTCCTGACAATACAAACCAAATTCTCAAAAAATTTAGACATGTTCAGCAGTTAACAGTACTTGCTTTGAGCCAAGTATGGTAGCTCACACCTTTAATCCCAGCTCTTGGGAGGCAGAGCAGGCAGATCTCTGAATTCAAGGCCAACCTGATGTACAAAGTAAAGAAGCCTATCTCCTGTCTTGAAAAAAAGAGCAGGCTGGCTGCTCACAAGCTGTAATACTTAGCTACAGGGAACCCTATGCTCTCTTATGGACTTCAAGGGCAACCACACAGACGTGCTATGCACACAAATTAAAAAGGAAAACCACATATCTTAGCCAGACATGCTGGCTCAATCGTACAACCTCAGCACTCAGGAAGCTGAGCTAGGAGGCCTTCCTTAGAGCCTGGATATATAGTCAGTTCCATGCCATTTTGGTCTATATTATGAGAATCTGCTCAAAAACAGAAACGAGATATAACTTCATAAAATCTTATACCAGGCAGTGGTGGTTCATGCCTTTAATCACAGCACTCGGAAGGCAGAGACAGGCAGATCTCCATGTTTGAGGCCAGCCTGGTCTATAAAGCATGTTCCAGGAGAGCCAGGACTAGAGAGAGAAAGCCTATCTTGAAAAACAATACCAAAAAATAATAATCAATTTTTTTTGTACTATTACATATAAGTTTTCTCAGCTAGGAGTAGTGCTGCATGCCTTTACCTTCAGCACATGTGAGGCAGAGGCAAGGTGGATCTCTGTGAGTTTTAAGGTCAGCTTGTACATAGCAAGCTCCAGGGCAGCCAGAGCTGCATAACAGAGGCCCCAGATTTAAAAAAATAAAAAATAATAAAATAAATAAATAAAAAGTAAATATTTTGGTTATTGGGGCTGGAGAGATAACTCAGTAGTTAACAGTACTTGCTATTCTTGCAGAGGACCAAGGTTTCGTTTTCAGGGCCCACATCAGGCAGCTCATTAACAGTTGTCAGTAACTCCAGTTCCAGGAGATCTGACACTTTCTTCTGGCCTCCATGAGTACACTGACACACACGTGCACAAATAAATCATCAAGTGTTCTTGGTCAGTGAGATGACTAAGCAGGTAACGGCTCCTGCCAGCCAGCCTGAAGACCTAAGTTCTATCCTCTGGGACCTATCCGGTAGAAGAACTCATCTAACTCCTGTAAGTTGTCCTCTTACCTCTAACCACTCCAATATTCACACAAAATATGTAAAATGTAATAAACATTTTTAATAAAAAACAAAAAATGAGCAGTTATTTACATTGTAATATTCATATCATGCCCAGACACCACCACATATTTTCATTTATGAAAATATGAGACTTAATGGCACTATAGCCCCATAAACGGCCACACTTTATTTCTGTACTTGAATATTTTCTAATAAAAGCACACAAAAAACAGTATCTGATTTTCCTTTATTGTGAGGTACAATGGATAAATCTCATCTACAGACTTCATTTACAAAGAAAAAGGACATCAAATGGAGCTAGTCTAATGTTTAAACATGCAGCTAGATAGTATATAAAGTTCCATGGTCCCTGCCACAATAGTAGGTTAAAAAATTACTTCCTGTGACAGAGGACATTTACTAATTTTAAAACAGAAAAAGGTGTCAAAAATAGACAAATGCCTGTTACTATTGAATTTGTTACTAGAGTGTTAGTACTAGGATTTACCTGTGCAAGCTTTCTTTACTCTTCTTGGTATGTTAAAAAAAAAATGTATCTTAAGCCCCTATTTTTTAAAAACTAGCAGCCCCAATTTACATAGTGTTAAAAAATAAACTGAGTGTAAAAAAGCCATTAAAAACAATTATTCTACTTTGACACACACTGGATGCTAAAAATAACTTTCAACAAAAAGTAGTCACTAAAAGCATGTGGGTACAGAATCTCCTACGAAGGGATAACATGCTGGGGAAGTCCTTCTGTGACGCCTACATACTACTCCTATCTACAGTGACAGACTTGCCCACTTATCCTGTGTGCTACAATTCCTACAACAGCAAAAAGAAGAGACAGGTACTAACTTACCTTCTACAGGCACAGTGATCCAACAGCAGGGCAAACATCAATCAGCATGATGGAGACAAAAAGCACAATTATCACACTGTCAAGTATACAGGTACAAGACAACCAGACGGACTGCAGGCAACCTGAAGCATCCCTTCCCATTAAATATGTGATCTAAGGAAAGTGAACAACTTTTATCATTTCAAATGGCTACAGTGTGCTTAGTCACATAATATAACTTAGGGCTAAGGAGAAAAGTTTATTCAATAAAGTGCTTGTCAAGCAAGCACTTACACCAGACTTCACACCCCAGAAACCACATGAAAAATAAATAAATAAATAAATAAATAAATAAATAAATAAATAAATAAATAAATAGTGGCAGGCATGTAGGCAGGCACTTGTAATCGCGTTGGGGAGAAAGAGACAGACTTGGTAGCAAACAACTTGCAAGCAGCAGGTTCCAGTGAGAGACCCCTTTTCTCAAAAAGCAAGGTAGAATGACAATGAAGGCTGTCCTCTGACCTAACACATACCATGAATCTGCACATACATAAACATATATGAAATATGCCCCGTAGGCAAATACTGTTTGTTCCAAGTCCCAAAATGGGACTGCTGTTATACAGACTCCTCCTTCAGTTAATTTAAAAAAATAGAAGAAGGGGTGTGGCTGGTAGTGGCTCAAGGGTCAAAAGCTCTGGCTGCTCTTCCAGAGGACCTGAGTTCAATTCCCAACACCCACATAGAAGCTAACAACTGTATATAACACCAGTTCCATTGGTTCCAACACCCCCTTCTTGCCTCCGTAGGCACTAAATGCACAGACATGCAGCAGTGTTAACAAACACACACAAAACGTGTAACATAAAGGCAGTGGTGGCACATGCCTTTAATTCTGGCACTCAGAGGTAGAAGCAGGAAAATTTCTAGGCAGCCTGGTCTACAGAGCAAGTTCCAGGACAGCCAGGGCTACACAGAGAAACCCTGTCTCAAAAGAAAAAACAAAACAAAAAACTAATAATAATAATATTTTAAAAGGAGAGATTGGTATAATGGTGAGAAGAGAGGAGAATTAAATTAAAAACAACCCCTCCCTGCTTTTCATGCCTCCAATTACTTCGGTGTGTTCTCTACGAAAACTACCTTAAACAAATTAAAACAAACTTAACAAATTACTTCTTAGGCCATTTGTATCATAACTGACTAAATCAGGCAGCTGTGGATGGTATGTGCCTATAATCCCAGCACTTAAAGGGTGAAAACATGAAGCTCAGAGTTCAAGGTAAGCCCTAACCTGTGCAGCAAACTGGAAGCCACACTGGGCTGCAAGACTGCCTTAAAACAAGAAAGAATGGCTAAATCAGTGGGCAGCCAGAAGGTTTTATGCCACTGAGACCACTCTTCTTGGATCGAAAGGAAAAGATTTCAGTACTACGACAGAAAAGTATACAGGAAAGAGCATATACATGAGCTTGCTCCTTCTCTATTACTAGAACTTGTAAAACAAGACTGCATGAGAAGCCAGCGCTGCAGCAAGACCTTATTAAAAAAAAGTATACTAGAAAATTTATCCGATTCCATTAAACAAACCTAATTCTGGCTATCGGTCAAGACCTCTGTAAGGTCTTGTGAAAGACATTGTAATTCTGATGAAAATAAATGTTCATTCATTCCACTCCCAGCCTCAGAATACACAACCTTCAGACGCACAAGCACAGACAGACCAGCGCGGGGATTTACGACTGCATACCACAGTGTGTCCTGTGACGCCCCATCTAAACAACGAGAGCAATACAAACCTCATTTCCTTCAGTCCTTCTGCCTCTATGACCTGAAGAATCTGTTTTGGTGTCATTGGAGCATCTGAATAGTTTTCTAACACCTGAAAAAAACAAACATCCTGACTTCAGTGTGAAAACTTTCATTATACCCAGTCTGTACCGGGGACTATACTCTGCTATGAGGAGTTAACAGTACCAGACGGGATTCACCATAATCAAAGTGACTTTCCAGTCAGGGGTATGGCCCCAGCACAGCATTAAAACAATTACTTCAGATACCAAATCACACTGATCTGTATTTTGAAAGTTAACTGCAATTAGATAAAAATACCACAATTAGGTAAAATATTCTAATTCTCAGTTCTATGGACAGCTATCTTAACATCTGCATGTAATAATACAAGACTTTAGCAGTTCTGATAACTTCGTAATTTAATGTTAAAATATAGAACACAGCTGGGTAGTGGTGGTGCACACCTTTAATCCCAGCACTCAAAAGGCAGAGACAGGCAGATCTCTCAGTTTGAGGCCAGTCTGGTCTACAGAGTTTCAGAACAGCTGGGGCTATGCAGAGAAACCCTATCTGGAAAAACAAACCTATACATAATAAATATAGACCAGAAGTGATGGTGCAGGTCTTTAATCCCAGCATTTGGGAGGCAGGTGAACCTCTTGTGATTCCCATCTCAAAACATAAAAACCTCAAGGCCAGTCTGGTTTATATATTGAGCTCAAGACCAGCCAAGCCACAGAGTAAAAAAAAAAAAAAAAAAAAAAAAAAAACAACTTTTTTTACTAGTACCCATATGGGTATGTGTGTCTAGGTGCAGTTTTTTGGTTTGAGACAGTCTAACTAAGCAAGCCCCCGCTGGCACAGAACTCATCATGTAGATTAACATCAGCCAGTTGAATGTTCAGTTCTGTTCTGAGACAACCGAGGCCACCTCTGAACTTGCCACGTAGCTAAGGATGAACTGGGACTCCTGACCCCACTGTCTCTACCTCCCAAGTGCTGGGACTACAAGAGTGTGTGCGTCATGCCCAGCTACAGTTCTTTTCCTTTTTACCATGAAATTCTGGAGTCAACTGCCACATTACATTTTGCCACCTGACAACATCGTGCCACGGCTCTTTTGTTTGAGACAGGCTTTCTCTGTGTAATAGCTCTGGCTGTCCTGGAACTCACACTATAGACCAGGCTAGCCTCGAACTCACAGAGATCCACCTGCCTCTGCCTCTGCAGTGTTGGAATTACAGGTGTGCGCCGCCTGGCTCATGCTACATTCTTTTTGTGACTAACTTAGAACACTGAGGAAGCCAATGTCCTGCTTGTGTTAGCTCATCTATAACGAAGTCAGCACTTCCTCAGCAACTGCAATTCTCACTCTAGAAAGCTGAGCTGTCTCGGTAATGTTCCTCCTCTAAGGAAGGAAAAGAAAGAGGTCATTCTCTTACTCCCTAACCTCTGCAGCGGCTGTGGGTACTTCCAGCTAACAAGTCCAACACCCAAGTCCTCCCTGGCATTTAAAAAGGGGGGTGAGGGAGCAGAAAGTTCCCAAGTAAGGCTACAAAAGACTTTGTCACTGAAGGAAATCAATGTTTGGAGAAGAAAAAAATATTAAAACAAAACTCCCATTTTTCCTCCTTAGCCTCTGCTTGGATTATGTCAGTTACAAACACTGCAATCCTATTTACCACTAGATCTGACTTCTAAGCTTCATTCAGATTCAAGCAGTTCTGTAGGACTCAACCTGTCTAATTGTCCATTCTTAATTTGTTCTTCTCTAATTTATCTCAGCAACTCTAGTCTATCTCCTCTCCAACCTCAGCCCTTTCCCCTATATTCCCTACCTTGGTCGGAACCTTTCTACCTTTTTATCACCTAATTTAGCAACACACAAGTGGCATCTTTCACTCTCTCACCTACCTAGTTCACTACCAAAGCCAGTGACACAACATAACAGCACCATCAATTATACCCTTAAGTCCAGCCCTGTTCTCCTCAAATCCATTCCTACTTGCGGTTATCCCTCATTTAAAGCCACCAAGAACACCTGCTTGTGCCAAGCCCAAATCTAGAAATCCAGAGTCTATCATCATCACGTTCGTTTCTATTTCAAAATCATGCTCAGCAACTCTGCCTGTTTCTCTATGCAGCAGAAGGTAAGTTTCCAGAACCCATCCACCCAGCCACTAAAGCACAGGCTCTCGAGCCACAGGACAAGGTTCAAATTCTACGCTCCCAAACTGAAGCAAGTACTGATCCAAACTGAGCCAAAGGGGATCTCATTCTTCAAGTATTTGGAGATCTTCCTCTCAGAGTCACTTTTCAGATCAAACAGAACATGAATAAGCACCTGCAGGTGCTAAGAGCTGAGCACCCAAGGCCTCTCAATCACCTCTCCATCTCCCCACCAGACAGCCTCACTGGCACCGCACACTTCTGTCCCAGCAATTGCTCTTTGTTCCACACCATTTGCATTCTGCAAATATATTAGAATCCATGTAGCTTTCTTCTCTCTTCTCAGCCATTCTTTTTTCACCAGTTTCTGCATGTATGGCCTCCTCTGTGAGACCTACTTACATCCCATTAACCCTTCAAGACTCAGTTCAGAAAGCACCTTCCTCTGGAAGCACTCCCTAATATGCCAAGCAGAATCAAATCTCTTTTTCAATGTTCCCACTGTCCCACAGTAAAAGGAATTCTCTCCCAAACCAGGATACTTAAAAGAGAAGTGAGGAACTAATTCATCATCTTTATTTCTAAACAAAAGACAGAAACTGTGCATCTCCAGTGATATGTAAGCCTATAGTTCTCTTCATCCATCTGAACCCCACGGCTTCCCCAGAAGACCGGCAGCTCCTCCTCTTCATACTCTGAGGTAACCCAAGTGCCAAGACAGAAAGACAAGGTTAGTCAACCTTGTTAGACAATAAACCTACAGTGAGTGGGGTTACTGATCTTCATTGTCACAGACACCATCTGAGTTAGGAAATCTGCAAAAATAAAGCGTGACTTTTTAAATAGTAAGGAGCTGGAGAATCTTAAAACAGAAGAAAATTTTCTAAAGAGAAGTTACATCCAAAGAGACAAAGTATTCATTTTCATTAAAATTGTATATAAATCGCTGGCTTTCAGAACAATCCAGCACTGTTATAGGCCCAGTCTTTCTAGATGGCACATTTCTGAAGGAAAGAAAAAAGTATCTCTACTACTTGAAAGGACAAAAAAAAAAAAAAAAAGTTTGATATAGAATGGCCAGAGAGAATCAGAGCAAAAATAAAGCATGCAATGTAATGTTTCTCAAAAGCCAGAGGAATCTATTTAAGAATTTTCTCCCAACTTGTTCCTAACCAGCTGGCAGATTTAACCCTCTCCTCTAGACAGATAGAAACACCAACACACTCTAAGGCATCTGAGAGAAGACTGTCCACTTCTTAAACAGTAAAAACCCATCTCCAGAGTATGCCACTCTACTGGAATTCTCCAGAATTCGCTCCACTTCACTACACCAAAATGCCGTGTAGAAGGTGATTATGTACTCACCAAATTTGAGTGAGGCCAGGAGCAATTAGAAACTTCCACCTGACAAATACATGCAGTCACCACTACAAGCAATCTAAATTCAACTGTCCAAAGGTAGTTAAGGATAATAATCCTGTGACAAAATTAACTGCCCTGATATTGTAGCTCACTGCTTGCCAGGTATCCCTCTATGCAGTAGAGGCTAATAATCTTGCCAGCACTCAATGTGACACAATTTTTTTTTTAAATGGGAAGACTCCAGTCTCCCACCCCCACAAGCACAGAAAATTCTAAAACACAAACCACATAAAAGATGTGCAAAATTGCATACCACATTCCTACACGTCCTCTTTCAAACATACAACTACACCACAAAAAAAAATTTCTGTTCAGATTACTATTTTTAACTGAAGAGCCACAGAAGAAAAAGAGAAATAACTTACTTAGATAATTGTGCTTGAAGGTGAGCCAATGACAAAATAGAAATAGCAACCTTAACCTTAGAATGGAAGCCACAGTAAATTTAAGAATCTAAAGAGGCTTAAAATAACAGTGGATTCCAAATTGCTAGAGCCTTTCAACTAATAAGAGCCAAAAAGCTTTGAGACAAGAAGCTTCTGTAACTGTCAGGACATAACACAGGATCGAAGGCGCTCTCACCTACCTCTAACAAGCAGGTTCTGGAAAGCAAAGTTTCTTTGGGTGCCCAGAGCCATAAACACCTGCACACAGAAACTCAGAATTTCAATGTACATCAAGACTCAACCTCCATAATAAAACACGCTTCATTTCAGCTCTCTCCTAGACGCCTTCAGACCTCAATTTGACTCCAGGTGAAGCATCAATGAAGACATCCCAAGTTCCAAGATCATAAAAACTAGCCAAAGGTTCTAGTTTTGATTGACTCACAGAAGGAAAAATAGACCACCTTGGAGTTTCAAATTCCTATATGCCAAACAAAAAAGAAACCAAACTGCAACCTTCACACAAACAACCCCCGTTTCTATTCCCAGGGTAACAAGAGGATGGGAACACCAGTAGAAATTCAAACAGTGGTAGGTAGCTCAGACAGCCCGGGTAAATCAATAACAAGCTTTCTCAGACTCCTAGGAAAGGGTGCACTCTAGATTCTTATCAACCTCGAACACTTGAGAGGCAGAAGTCACTTTCCAGTAAAAGGAACAATTAGAAAGCTAAGCTTCACTCCATCATTAAAACCTACATATAAAATACAGGGCGTCAACAGACAAGTACTATGCACCATAACCCTGCACTGTGGCCGCCTGAGGACGTGACATTTCTGAGAAGTATAACCTATTAGGACTGTCATCAGCAACATTTTATAAGAACATGCCTCAAGGATTTTGGCTTTGTAGTTTTGAGTCCAAAAGGAAGCTATCTCACAAGTCCACTGAAGCTTGGAAAACAGAAAATCCGAAATCCTCTGGGCAGGCAGCTAGCTCAATCAATTTACTTTTTCTTTCCTTCCTTCCTTTTTTTTTGGCTAACCCTCTGAAAGGAGCCTCAACAGATATTCTTTGCAAACAGACGTTATCCAGTTCCTCTGCAAAGCGCCTACCTCTATGGCAGTCACGGCGGTTCAGTGTGATTTGAATGTCCATGGGCCACCTGCATAATAATCACTTACGCAGCTGGCAAAAGTACTGTTTCCAAGGCAGGTTCAGTGTGTTTAAACGAGCCCTAGAAACACCGCTTTAAACAAAGTCCCCAGATATACTCCCACTGGGCACTCAACTTTGAGAACCACTACTCAGGGTTTTAGACTAGCCCTTAGCAATTGCTTCCCGACACACACCTGGTTTAAATTGCCAACGCTCTAAATGCTTCCCATGTCCTTGAAAGCAGGGGCGCCTTGCCACCCCCGCGGTGTCCAGTGACCCACTCCACTGCCCCCGGAGAGGGAAGCCCTTCCGACCTTTCCCGGAAACCTAACTCCCGCAAATGAACAAACGGCGCTTCCCGGGACCCCCTGCTGCTGCCAACGTGGGGGAGGGGAGCCTGGAGCCCGGGCGCTCCGAGGGGTGGAGCCGCCTGCCAACTCGCCCCTCCGCAGGAATTCAGGGGGGGCGCGGAGGAACGGCGCCCCGGCCCGCCCGGGCCCGGGCCCGCCGGCGCCCAACACCCAGGCGGCCCCGCCCCCTGCCGCGATGGGCCGGGCCTCGCCCCTCCCCCGCCCCGGAGCGGCGCGGGAGCCCACCCCCCGGGCCCCCCGCCGCG